ACGCCACGAGCATAACCGTAATTACAGAACTGTAGCTCAACAAGTTACAAAATTGCAATTCAACAATTAATTACAAAACTACCATTCAACATTAATTAAAGAAGTTCCACTCACCAAGTAATTAGAGAACTGCCACTCACCAAGTAAGTCAGTGGCTATTACAAAAATGTTTACCGGTAATTACAGAATTGCCACTCACCGAATAATTATAGCACTACCACTCAACAAAAGTTTCATAACCACTATGCATCAAGTAATTAGAGAATTACCACTTACAAAGTAACTATAGAAATGTCACTCATCATCGTAGTTACAGAACTGCCGCTCAACAAGTAAATACAGAATTGCCACTCAACAAATAATTACAGAGCTATAATTTGTATAAATTACATAAGTGCCACTCACCAAGTAATTACAGAACTTCCACTCAACAACAATTACCAAACTTCCACTCCCTAAATAATTAATGAACTGGCATTTACCAGTAATTACCGAACATACACTAACCAAATAATTACAGAACTGTCACTCAATAATAACTACAAAATTGCCCTCATCAATTAGTCACATAACTGCCATTCACCAGTAATTAATGAACTGCCATTCATCGGTAATTACAAAACTAGTAGAGGTGGCAATTTATTGAACTTAGACATGATCATGTCCAGATCCATGCGAACCGGATCCAAAAAGAATAGAATCTAAAGTCAATCTATATGAATGGATCGAATGTGGATTAGATCCTCATGGAACCATTGCATCTTTACCTCAATTTATGTGGTTTAATATCTCAACTTATGAGGTTGAATATCTCAATTATGTAATTTAATATCTCAATTTATGTGCATCAAAATCCATTTTACTCAACTTTCACACTTACACACACATACACACACTCCAACCCACTTTTCACACACATATGCGCACACGCACACACACCTTTGGCACACACATAAACACACACTCACACACACTTTTCGCACTCACGCAAACACACTTTTCACACACACATACACATAGTTACATACACTCCAACACCAATTTCACCCCACACGCACTCAAACACACTTTTGACACACACACATACACACACACAGAGAGACACATATACACACCTTTGACACACATATGCAGACTCATACAAAATTTTGACACACACACATTCCAACACACGTTTCATCCACACAGACTTTAGACACACACATATACACACAAGAAATTATAGAATTGTCACGCACTAAGTAATTACAGAATTGCCATTCACAAGTAATTTTAGAAATATCACTCAACATTGTAATAACGGAATTACCACTCAATAAATTATTACAGAAATGCTACGTAGCAAATAGTTGCATAATTGCCACTCCCCAAGTAACTACAAAACTACTAAACAACAATTATAGAACTGTCACTCATCAAATAATTATAGAAATGTCATTTACTAGTAACTATATAACTGTCACTGATCAAGTAATTACAAAATTACCACTCAACAAGTAACTACATATGTGCCTCTCAATAATAACTACAGAACATCCACTAATGAGTAATTACAAAACTAGTACTTGACAAATAATTACAGAAGTACCACGCATAATGTAAGTACATAAGTGACATTCAACATGTAACTACAAAATGTCCCTCACCAAGTAATTACATAACTTCCACTTAAACAGTAATGGTTAATTGTATTTCGCCATCTGGATTTTGCCCGTTTTTTAACTTTGCCACCTTAACTAAAAAAAAAAATCACACGGTCACACTCAAACCCATTTTTTGGACACACATAACCACCTATGGCAAATATTCCAACTAATCTTCTCATTTACTGGTGCATGTGCGATGCACATGCGAAAGTAAAAGGCTTTTTCGCTCATGTTTATTTCTAACTTGATTTAATGCAAATTGAATCCATGTGGATCGAATCGAATCTCATCGGGTCCATGAAACCGGATCCAAATTGCGAGCCCTAGTTTAAATAGACTCTTATAAGTAGTTTACATGATATAATCTTAAAGAGTTTATTTATTCTATTTCAATTCAATGTTACATATACCATCTTATTTCATGTTATTTTCTCTTAAAAATCCTAAAAAAAAAGGTTAAATAAAGAAGAACGGGTACACTTCCCCTGAAGACTTGCATATTTTTAGTCCTTTTACGCATAATTTTATTTACTCCATTTATGCAAGATCCTATTTCTTATGCCCAAGGGTAATTAAGTAATTGCACGATTTCCAAAACGTCAAAATTGGAAAAAGAAAGAAAGACGGGGACTAAAATGAAACTTTTTGTAAAGTAGATGACCTTGTAAAGAAAAAAACTCCGAAAACGGTTATTAGCTTTAAACATAAGCAACGTAGTTCAAAAAACTGAAACTGCTTATGGAATAAGCTATAAGCTATAAAAAGCTATAAGCTACACGCCGGCCACTACAAATCAACCTTATATATTAATATATATACCCCCAAAACCTATTCCCCTTTTCGACATCAATTTTACACACAGTAATTGGAATAAATCTCTTCCCTCCGAAAGAATGGCGTTCAATTATTCGACTCCTCGTAATTCTCTTCCCTCTTTCTCTCTCTAGAACTAACGTATTGCTGATTTCGTATTCATGTAGTGACACTGTTCTCAATTCTGCTTATTTTCTTCGATGCACACTATGTGTTCGCCCGATTGCATGCGATTGATGCATATGTAATTCTGTGTAAGAAACAGAGGTCTGGAATTTTGTTTTTAAGGTTTATAAGAAGTTTTTTTTTTTTTTTTTTTGTGATTGATTTTGTTATTTCTGTTCTGGGATTATCAAAAACTCTGTTGGTTCATCATGCCGATTTGCTTTCGGGTTCAATTACCATCATTGGTTTGTGACAATTGAGCATGAGTATTACATTGTCTGGTTTGTATGTTTTAAATTCTTGAAGAGTTGAAGTTTTTCATAAAGAAAAAGAATTGATGCTGACGAATCTATGTTCTACCGGCAGATTTTGGGCAGACGAGCAGTTCTTCTTCGGCTCCTTTTGCCGCTCCAAGTGAATCTTCATCAGTTTTTGCTCAAATTACACCATCTCCTTTTGGAAGAAGCAATTCATCGAGTTTTGGAGGTAAGTGCTAAATCGTATCGTTCTTCATATTTTCGAGTACACGTAATTAATTATGTATAAACCACTACTTGTATACATACACTTCTCTCCTTAATTTGACTAGAGATAATGCCTATGCATACTTAATGATTATTTTGGCTTAAAACCCGAAAGAAAAAAGACATCTAAAATATCACTTGCTCTTTTTGAAGTTGCAGTAGTGTTTATTTTGATTTTTCGTCGGTTATTTTGCACTACAGGATTCCAGACCGCAAACACTTCTCCGTTTGGATCAGGATTTTTCGGTAGCACAAACTCGGGTTTTGGTGTCTCTAATGCACCAAACAGTGGTTTTAACTTCAATAGTTCAACTACTCCCATGTTTGGAGTACCGAATCCTTTTAGTGCATTTGGAGTTCAGAGTTCATCTTCTGGTCAGTATTATCGACAGTATGCCTTGTATGTCGTGTACGTTGTTTCTTGTTTCTGTTTTCGTAAAAAAGGTTTTGTGCTTATGTTTGGTTAGGTGGATTATCTTCATCTTGTTTCAAGACTGGTGATAATCAAGCAAAGGTCTTCCAATCTATTTGGAATTCACCGTTTCAAGCCCCAACGACCCCTTCATTATGGTCAACTCCAGCATTTGGAGTTCAGAGACCTGCTGGTGTGTACAATCGAAACGCTTTACCAGTTATACACACAGTATTCCTTAGACTATATTAATTACATAATGTAACTGTTTTGTGCTTCTTTTTGATTAGGTGGAGATACACCATTCTGTTTCAACACTCCTACCACGAATTCACCGTTCGATAATCTCTTCCGGAACCAATCTACTGCAAAATCACCGTTTGATAATCTCTTCCGGAACCAATCTACTGCAAATTCACCATTTGATAATCTCTTCCGGAACCAATCTACTGCGAATTCACAGACTTTCCAGTCGGCAAATCCTTTTGGCGTACAATATGAAATTGATGGACCGAAGGCCATAATTACTATACAAAATGGAACATCTACCATACAAGTAAGTCATACATTTCACACACTAATGTAGCACAAACGATAGAATACTCTTTATTGAACTAGGAAAAACTTCAATATGGTAACAGTTTAAACACACGAATAAGAATAATAAAGTTCCGATGGCATTGTGAAGAAATCGGTCTTTGGGACTTAAGGGTCTTTTTGTTTTTTTTTGGTCCAAAGTGTTATCTTTTCATTATTCGAATTGAAAAATGTAGGTTTCAGGCGAAGTTTCGTCCTTAACTATCCGACAGGTGCCGTCGAAGCAGGACAAGCTGCCTGCTCGAGGAAATAATGGTGGAAGCAGTGAGCCTTGTTTTGCGAACTCACACGGTAAGCCTTTTCAGATTAGACGTAGCAGTTTTCAGTAATCGACTTAAATCATATTTCTTCTTGCTAATTGCTAAGATAGATGCTATAGTTTATGCATACTTTAAGATTATTTTGGCTTAAAGAAGCTTCTCTTTTAGATATCAAAATATTCTAAATGCTCTTTTTTTATGTTTCAATTGTTGTATTGATTTTTCATCTACTATTTCCTACTTTTTACTGTAGGAATAGTCCAGCGCACCACAATATCTGAGGTCAATCCACCCAATGCTCGTCCCAGTAACCAATATCGCGCAACACCAGGAAAAGATGCAAACAACGAACAAATCAACTCAATCTCTGCTATGCCAATTTTCGAAAATAAAAGTCATGAAGAGTTAAGGTTGGAGGACTATGTGTTACGTGGGGGTAAGCGTGTATGCATGTTTTTTATTTCACCACATTCTACATAAATCACGTATAAAATATTTGCATGCTACCATACAACGAATGCAAAACATTTCTGTCATCGGCCATTCATACACATCTAATGTCATTCGTCTTTTTTTCTTTTCTTTTCTTTTTTGTTCTTATGAGATGATTATCCTTAACATTGCCTATTACATAAATTTGGACTAAATTAATGAGTTCATAAAGTTTGTATTGGACTTAACTGAATCACAATTCTATGTCTGTAGTCTATACCTTTTTCTTACTGATAAATCGAGATAATACAGCTATATTAATTATTATTCTTTAAGAAAGGTGTATTGTACGAACGACGAACCTATAATTGTTAATCCCCTTTATTCTTTGCTGGATACTAGCTGCAATGTTTACACTAGTACATTAAGAAAATTGTCATGCATGGATTATAAATCTCTTGATTGTGTCAAAATAAGCTGGTATCGTAATTTTACACAACAGTTAATAATCTAACTAAAAAAAGACCGCGGAGCAGACATCAAGAATTTTATAGATATCAATAAGCTCGTTATATGATGTTTACAGTCTGAAACTTTTGTATGAGAGGTACAAGAAGATTATTATTGCAGTAGTCTCGTATTCAAATTAGTTCTTTGGTTTATCCGCCGCTTGCTAATATAAGCAAATAGAAGGGATAGAGATTTCATAGAGGTTTAGTGTGAAAAATTCTAAATTCTTAATGATTATAAATGTGTAAAATTGCAGGAAAAGGTTGTGAAGGCGGCAAAGCTTCGTTCAAACTCAACCTCAATGAAATAGAGGTGAGTGAAGAAGAAGATGATGCAGAAGCAAATAAAAAGCGCGAGGCAGATATTTTAGCACTAATGCCAAAGCTACCAGACGGTGATTATTACACGGAACCTTCTATAAAGGATCTGGCAGCAAAGGAAATATCCGAACCGGGATTTTGCAGCCGAGTGAATGACTTTGTAGTGGGGAGAAAAGGTTACGGAAGCATCAAATTTCTTGGAGAAACGGATATTCGAAACCTCGATATTGAATCTGTTATCCATTTCAACAATCGAGAAGTGATAGTTTATCCGGACAGTACAAAGAAGCCGCCAGCTGGACAAAGCCTGAACAAGCCAGCAGAGGTAACTCTAATGAATGTGAAATGCATTAATAAAAAAACCGGAAAAGAGTTTGTAGATGGTGTTGAAGTTCAACGTTACAAAGAGATACTAATAAAGAAGGCGTCGGAACATGGGGTCGAGTTTGTTTCGTATGATCCAGTTCAAGGCGTGTGGAAATTCAGAGTTCAGCACTTTTAGTTAGCTAGCATTTTTTAATTTTTTTTTTTTATGTTTCAGTCTTAGGAATTTAAAATCAATTGGTTTGTGAAAAGTGTGTTTTGCTGAATTTGCATCTTGTTTTAGGGTTTAGCAAACCTTACCATGCATTTACATGGGAATTTTTTCTTGTTTTTGACTATATAAAGGTCCATTTTCAATGTGAGTGTTCAATTCTTCTTTTTTTCTACTTAAGTTAGATGGATATTAAAACAAAATGCATATTAACCAAATATGAATAATCTCATGTCTATTATTCTCCCTCACTAAAATTAATGATTAATAAATATACAAAGTATGATTAATTATGTATTTTTTATTAAATGATAACTAAAATAATTTAAACTTAGAATAACAAAAGGTAGTGGCCAAATTGAACCCAAAAAAACAATAGAGGCCAAATTGCAAAATATAGTAAATTTCTGAAACTTAAATTAAGGACTTGATTGCAATTTCCCTAAAAAAGAGTACATTTGATTCTTTCTTCAGCCAATTCCCGGACTATACTTCCCTCCATCACCACCTTCACCACCCCCAATTCCTGGACTACCTCCATCGCCACCATCCCTCCGCCAGTTTCTATAATTTCCGCCGCCTGAATCCACACCGCCGTGGCCAATCCGTCATCCGCGCCGGGGACCTCGACAATCACTGCCGCATGAACCGACAATCATCGCAGCAGCAATTTCTTCAGCAGGAGTAGTAGTATAAACCTAGGCGAAAAACATCGCACCAGAAATCTTTTGCGAAAAAGTTCAAAAGAATGGCGTTCGCTTCTTCCAGTTCCTGTAAGTCTCATCTCTCTCTCTCTCTCTCTCTCTCTCTCTCTCTCTCTCTCTCTCTCTCTCTCTCTCTCTCTCTCTCTCTCTCTCTCTCTCTCTCTCTCTCTCTCTCTCTCTCTCTCTCTCTCTCTCTCTCTCTCTCTGTCTAGAAACTAACTTATTGAAATTGTATGTATGTGGTGACAATGTTCACAATTCTGCTTATTTTCTTCGTCGAAACCCTGTTTTCCCCAATTGCGCGTCGTGAAATTTTCTTGCGGAGTACGGATGATTTTATGAGTGGAAAAATCTAGAAAATCTATGCATGTGGTATATTGTTTTGCATGCTTTAACAGAAAAGGAGAGGTTTAATTTGTTCATCACAACTTCTGTGATTGATTGATTTATCATTTGTTTTTGGATTATCTAAGAACTTGTTGGTTCATCATGCTGAATTTTCTTCAGGATTTTTTCGGGTTCAATTGCCATCATTGGTTTCCTTTTCTAAGTTTCTTTGTTTCACAAGAAATGTACTAATATATTTTTGTGTACATCCTTTTTTTGTATGATTTAAATTCTTGAAGTTGAAGATTTTTAATAAAGAATCGATACTGACGAGTGACGATTCTATGTTCTACTGGCAGCTTCTGGGCAGACGATCAATTCAAGCAGTTATTCTTCAACTCCTCGTGGCACTTCAATTGAATGTTCATCAGTTTTTGCTGAAAATATATCATCTCCTCTTGGAAGAAGCAATTCATCGAGTTTTGAAGGTAAACGCGATTGTGGAGTTTTTCATATACGTATAAACAGCACTAATAGATCATATATTTCTCTTCTTGCAGTATAGCTAAATTTGGCTAAACATAAATGCTATGTATACTTTATATGATTACTTTGGCTTTAAGATCGAAAAAAAGACCTCTATGCAGTCTATAGGATTGGTATTTAAAGTTCCAATAGTTGTATTGTTTTTCGTTGACTATTTTGTACTGCAGGTTTTCCGGCCACAACAATATCTCCGGGAAGTACAGTAGAATCTTATTCTACAACAGCGGATATAGATGGAAATGACAGACAAATGCAGTCTATATGTGGAACACGGGAAATAAATGGAAATGACAAACAAATCCAGTCTATATCTGAAACACCGGAAATAGATGGAAATAACAGACAAATCCAGTCTATATCTAAAACATCGGAAATAGATGGAAATGACGGACTAATTCAGTCTATATCTGAAACATCGGAAATAGATGGAAATGACAGACAAATCCAGTCTATATCTGAAACACCGGAAATAGATGAAGATAGGTGTAAAAGTCATGAACGGTTGAGGTTAGAGGAATGTGAGTTAAAACAGGGTAAGCTTATTTTTCATTAGCATTGCATGATCTTGTTTGTGTATTCAAACTCTTTAAACTAGTAAAATTTGCCTTGCAGAATGAAACTCTTATTTTGAGGTCTCGTTTTAATGTGTCTGTGACATGAAGTGATTCCCCTTTCTGTACAGCAACGGCTGCTACAAAATCGAAGTCACATGTCAGTTCATTTGGCAGCCCGTGTACTAAGCTTGAAGCATCGACCCCCACAATCTTTGGTGCCCCAAACACCTCAGGGATTAGCTTCAATTCGGCACCAACAGAATCAGCAAATGCGCAACCTTTTGCCCCTTTGAGTGGCAGCACTGGTTTTACATTCCCAACGACACTAGTATTTGGTACTAAGCTGACTCCTCCATTGTGGTCAACTCCAGCATCTGTAGTTCCAAGCACTTCTAGCTCTTCTGCTGCCTCAACTACAACAACTGGAAATGGTAGCGCATCTGGAGTTCAGAGTTCTTCTGGTGAGTATTATATATGTATACATACACCCACACACATAAAGCACGTCTTGTTCATATGCATTGAGACTAAAAGTTTTATTTATGAATTACATGATAAATATTAGGCTGTAGGCTTGAGATGATGTCGTGTATGTTGTTCAAGACCAAACCAATCTTTCATTTTCCCCAATTACCAAACTCTTTACCTCTCAATCCCAACAACACATCCATAAAATCTTCTAAACTATTGACTTTTATGAATCCATGAAGAATCTTTACTGACGATTCTATGTTCTATTTGCAGCTCTTGGGCAGAAGATTGAGTCGAGCAGTGCTGCCCATCCATTCTCTGGTACTTCATCTGGTTTTGGCACTCCAATCGAACCTGCATTTGGTTTTGGCACTCCAATTGGACGTTCATCTGGTTTTGGCGGCACTCCAATTGCACCTTCATCTGGTTTTGGCGGCACTCGGATTGCACCTTCATCTGGTTTTGGCAGCACTCCGATTGCACCTCCATCTGATTTGAGTGCCACTCCAATTGCACCTTCATCTGGTTTTGGCGGCACTCGGATTGCACCTTCATCTGGTTTTGGCGGCATTCCGATTGCACCTTCATCTGATTTAAGTGCCACTCCAATTGCACCTTCATCTGGTTTTGGCGGCACTCAGGTTGCACCTTCATCTGGTTTTGGCGGCACTTTGATTGCACCTTCATCTGGTTTTGGCTCAACTAGTACATTATCTGGGGTTCCTAGTACTTCCATTTTTGGAGGATCAACTTCAGCATCTTCAAGCTTTTCTCCTTTCGGTTCAACTTCAGCATCTAAATCTCCCAAAAAAAGAAAAAAAAAGACTCCATCATCCAAAAATACTAGTGCATTCGGAGCGCTGAGTTCATCTTCTGGTGAGCATTGTAGACAGTATGCATTGTATGTCATGTACGTTGTTTCTTCTTTCTATTTTCATAAACTGTTTTGTGTATATGTTTGGTTAGGTGTATTATCTTCGTCGTGTTTCAAGACTGGTAATAATCAAGCAACGCTCCTCGAATCTACATGGAATTCACTGTTTCCTCCTGCACCACAACTCTTTGCTACTAATAGCAGTACTCAATTATTCTCTTCCTCCAATCTATTTTCATCTCAATCTTCACCAAGTCCGTTATGGTCAACTCCAGCATCTTCAAGCTTTACTCCTTTCGGTTCAACTTCAGCATCCGAAAATACTAGTGCATTTGGAGTGCAGAATTCATCTTCTGGTGAGTATTATCCAAACGCTTTAGCGATAGACCGTATTCCTTAGATTATCTGAATTACATAATAACTGTTTTGTGCTGCTGTTTTACCTTCAGCTTGGTTCAAGAATTCACCGTTTGGTAATATCTTCCGTGTTCCACCATTATCGAACCAATCTACTTTAAATTCACCGTTTCATCCCAAACCACTTTCCAATACAACAGCTTCAGTACTTTTCCAAAAGCCTGGACAAACTACTAACAGTCTTAGTCAACCATCACAAGGTAATAAGATGAACTTTCTCCTCGTTTCATCTATGTTATGACATAAAGTTTCAGACATGAAACCGATAGATTCTTTATATTCCCATTTCAAAAGCTTCAAACGGCTCGACAATGTTCAAGGAGGTTTCCAAGCAGGGTATTATTGAGGGACAACAACAGTAAGTGCCACTGCTTCTTCACTCTTGCTATTCTTTTAGTTTGCTCACAGTGTTCCTTCTTTTTTGTTTTATTAATAATTTAATATATGAAAATGCTCCTCAAGTTCTTCGGATTTTTATGTTTCCTGCGATTCTCCATTTATTGATGTTTTCAGGCAGTCGGCGAATCCTTTTGACATACAATATGAAATTGATGGACCCAATACAGTAATTACAATACAACATGGAACATCTAGCATTCAAGTAAGTCGCACGTTTCACACCGTAATGTAGCACATACGATAGAGTGCTCTTAAGAACATTAATTTTCTCTTTATTAAACTAGGAAATAAGAATAAAGTTTTGATGAAGGTTTAGGAGTTTAGGTTTTGTTTTATTTTCTGTCCTAGCGTGTTATCTTTTCACTATTCGAATTAACGAATGCAGATTTCAGGAGAAATTTCATCCGTAACTGTCCGACCAGTGTCCTCAAGGCACAACAGTGAGTCTAAGGTGAGTGCAGTGAGACAATGATGTGATTCTTTAGGTACAAATGCAGGTTCCTTTTTCAGATTATTGGATTGGATTCTTTAATAAGTTCATCTCATTTAGATTTTCTTAAGTTCCTCTAAAACGGCACATGCTCTTGATTGCAATTAGTATGTAAGGAAAAACTATTTTGCTTCATTCAGTTCTTTTAGATTCTTATTTAAATTTTCCTCGAATACACACCATTGTCTTTTTATCCCGTTTTCTCTGTTTAGTTAATCCAATTAATTTTAATAAACACCGCTGACATTAAGGCCCCGTTTGGTTGCCCAGATAAGCCATGATTAACTAAATAATTGGACTTCATTTGATGTTTGGTATCTTCAATAAATTGCCGGGTTGACCCGCCAAAATTATATAATCATGGCTTATCTTGCCTTATATTGCCTTCTAATAAGTTTTTTTTGTTGGACGTTTCAAGCTCCAATAAAATAATTGGGTCTCATTAGATTATTTAATCTTATCTTGGCTAATCTTATCTTGCCAACCAAACGGGGCCTAAGTATGTATTGGAATGTGATGTACTCTTTTATTGTTTCAGGAAAAAGACAGTCCAAAGGGTCAAACAAAAACTTCGAACGGAACGAGTACTAAGCCAGAAAACGACTCAAAGCAGAATTCAGAGTTTGATATAAATGTTGGTTTATCTGATTGCCCAATGTGGTTCTGTAGGTATGTTTTGGTCAATCAACGCATCAAATGGTTGACCTTCGCGGTTTATTCTGTCTGACTGTAGTGTGGTTTTGCTAATCATTTCGTGCCTGGTTCAAGAGTCTTCATACTAATGTTCCCGTATATGTTTTAGCTGCTACATGTTCTGCAAATTAAATTTAATTTTTTGTAAAATTGGTAATAGGTCTGCTCCTTTCTGCTTTCATGAACATATTCTCGAACAAGATAACCTAATTTCAACAAGGCTTATCATGGTAGATAGGAAAGCTTTCACTATTTTCTATTTCTCATTTGTCAAATTATGTTTGTATCTATATCCCTACGTGTTCTTTTAGTACATACTGGGTGACGGTTTCTCACGACTTGTCTGTCACTGTTTTGATATCACAGCCTGTGTAACAGTAAGGCCACAAGTAAGCAAGCCTTGCTCCACCATGCTAATGGAAAAAAACACAGGGCAAAAGCAAGAGCATTCCATGAATCAAAACAGCAGCCTAATGGTGCTGCAGAAAACGATACAACAAGTGAAATCCCTGCAAATAATGACGGCCCCGAAGTGGGAAATAATGCTTTGGCATCAAACAAGAAAAGAAAAGCAAATAATGCTTCGGCATCAAACAAGAAACGTAAAGCCGAGGCTTCTGATAAGGATGGCGCTCACCACCTGACTGGAGGTGATATCTCGGAAAATAGTTTTTCCTTCTATACTATTATATCGCAAAATGAAGAATATAGAACTTTTCCAATTGAATCTTTCTCAAATCTTGCTTTCGTTTTATCAACTCACGTGGTAAGCCTTCGACTGTTCTATCTTGCTGGAACAGACGCCGTCTGATAAATCGAAACTCTAGATTTTCAGATTAGAAGTAGCAGTTTTCGGTAACCGACATAATTCTGTTGTGAATTTTAATTACAATCTATATGTACTACAACACTTGTATTTGTGCTGTTTACTGGCAATTAAAACAGTTTTATATGAGAAGATTGATCCTACGATAATTTTCTATCATGAAATTTATCCACTGGCCCTATAACAATTCGTATGATTTGGTTTTCTCCACATTTTATATCAGTGTTCATTCATTTGTTAGAATTTCATTTTTGTCACAGAAGGTTATATTATTTTTAAATCAAGGTATAAAATGCCGAAACACACATGTACGGGTTCTTGTTTGTCCTGATTCATTTTTTTTTCTTTCCTTTTTGTGTTTTTAAATATTGATTACTCTACTTAGCATTTGCACCTCCAAAATTCTGAATAATTATAAGTGTGTAAAATTGCAGAAGGCAAAGCTTCTCCTAGTGCTTCCTTCAAAATCAACGTTAATGAAACGGAGGTGAGTGATGATACTTCCCTCCAAGATGAAGATGATGACGAAGTATTAAAGAAATGCAAGGCTGATGTTTTAGCACTAATACCAAAGTTACCAAACGGTGGTGATTATTACACGGAACCTTGTATAAAGGATCTGGCAGCAAAGGAAACATCTAAACCGGGATTCTGCAGCCGAGTGAAGGACTTTGTAGTGGGGAGAAAAGGGTACGGGAGCATCAAATTTCTTGGAGAAACGGATATTCGAAATCTTGATATTGAATCTGTTATCCATTTCAACAATCGGGAAGTGATAGTTTATCCGGACAGTACAAAGAAGCCGCCAGCCGGACAAAGCCTCAATAAACCAGCAGAGGTAACTCTACTGAATGTGAAATGCATTATTAAAAATACGGGAGAAGAGTACGTTGATGGTGTTGAAGTTCAAAGTTACAAAGCGATGCTGGTAAAGAAGGCCTCTGAAAACGGGGCTGAGTTTGTTTCATATGATCCAGTTCTAGGGGAGTGGAAATTCAGAGTTCAGCACTTCTAATTACGAGTTTTTTTTTTTCCTTGTCCGATGATTTGTCTTGTACTAATCCAGCATTAACTATAATCTTGAATATTTCTTGACATACTCGAATAACTATGATGTTCGAATATGAAGACTCTTCTATTGGAAATTTATGCTGCCAAGAAAAAAATTGTGGCATAATTTGGCAGCTTCCTTATATAGCTTTCTGCTGTGCTTACCTAGCCGATATATATCTTATGGCCATTTTTTGGGAATTAAAATGTTGAGTAAATTACGGTTAACCCTAAGGTAAGGTCAAATTACAAAAAAAATCTTTCATGTTTAGGTAATTTCAACAACTCCCTTTAACTATGAGTTCGTACACCTTTATGACGTCAAATTTAACATAATCTTCTAGATTTCGTGTAATGTTTTCTATTTTGTACTCTTTTTGTGCAAAAATGCAGTTTTTTATGCACCATACACAATCTGATATTTACAAGCCAAGAGACGCATCTTATGATCATCTTGTTCAAAATGTAGAGTTTGAATAGGATAAAATTGGTACAAAATGGAGAATATTCTACATAATTTAGAAGATTAAGATTTCTGCTAAATTTACACCACAAGGGTGGACGTGTAGTAAATTCATAGTTTAGAGATGGTAGTAATTACCCAAACATGAGAGATTTTTGGTAAAAGAACTTTTTGTCTGGTCTTATTTTCTGAATAAGTAGTCCATGATGGACTTATCTTTTATTTAAAGGAATAACTAAAATAATAATTAAATTATACAACTAAAAAATATCCGTTGAAAAATGCAATATTTTAAAATTAAAAAATATTATCTTGCATTTGGTACATGTTCAATAAATAACATCTAACAGTTGTTGGACCAATTAATGGAATATATTCAGAGGGATAAATTTTAAGAAATGAATACATAAGTAATAATAATCTTAAGAGTTAACTCTTAAGTATTTAAATTTATTTTAGTTCATTAATTTCTTAAAGTATATTTTTATTGATTATTAAACAATATATATGATGATGCTAAAATATAGCTCACCTAGGGTGGTGTAGAAAATGAGCTGGGAGAGCAAAGCAGATCAGTAGCTTGACAACTTGATGATCCTGAGGTACCTGCGATCATAGAACACACATGAACTAAGCCGGGGGTTGATCCGGCGGAAACCCCTCCGACGCTCTGATACGATATATTATTTAATATATCGTTTAATTATTAGTTAGTTAGTATTTTATTATTAATTAATTAGATTAGTATATTTATGATATATATATGGCCGTGAGTTTAGTATTTAGGATATATATTAAGTATTTTATTAGTTTAGGTAATTATCTTTTCTAGTTAGATTAGGATTCTAGGGTTTTCTTATATTTAAATAGTCGTCTTGTGCTAGAGTTTTGGTATGCAGAGAGAAATATTAAAGAATAGATCTTACGTTTCGTAGGAAATATTTATGATACACAAGAGATCGTATCAATTGGTATCAGAGCGAAGTTGCGATTAACACCAACGCTTCGTTAGCAAGGCAGCGATTACATCAAAGCTACGCTGGAGCAAAGTTGAGATCACATCAAAACTTTGTGAAAATCATGATGTCAGAAACAAGACGGTTGGAGCGATTGGAAAAATCCGTAGAGAAATTACGGATTAATTTTCAGAAATTGCTCGAACAAAGTCAAGGACGACGTCAACGCCATCACAAAAGCCGAAGGGACCGCCGCCCGTCACCGCCACCGCCGCTGCCGAGCCTATTCCCGGAGGAAGAGGAAGAAGACGACGATGACTTTTTCGAAGAGTCACCGCCACTACCACCGCCGCCACCGTTGCCGAGCCTATTGCCGGAGGGAGAGGAAGAGGACGACGATGACTTTTTGGAAGAACCCCAATTTTTTGTGAGTTCGCCGAATGATGAATTATCGGATTCACTTGAGGTAATTTGGGACGAAGACGAGGAATTAACTAAGGAAGAGAACGAAGAACTACAATGGATATTAGAAGAGTCCCACGATATTCAGAAGAAAGGAGACGAACAAGATTTGGTAACTGTGAATGAGCCCGGATCTGTAAAGACGACCGAAAAAAATAAAAGCATGATATTGATTGTGAAGGAGATGAAATTTGAAAAGGGAATTGAGAAGGTTGATTTGTCGGGAAAGAGATTGAAAAATTTAATTCGAGCAGATAGGTTCATCTTTGGAAAAGAGCTCGATTTTTCATCGTGTTTTTCGGAGTCAACCGGGAAGCAAGTCGATGAAGTCAAACATAGATGGAAACGCAAAGGAGAGGGGCCAAATTGGCTCGAACCTTGAGGACAAGGTTCATTTCAAGAGGGGTGGTTTGATACGATATATTATTTAATATATCGTTTAATTATTAGTTAGTTAGTATTTTATTATTAATTAATTATATTAGTATATTTATGATATATATATGGCCGTGAGTTTAGTATTTAGGATATATATTAAGTATTTTATTAGTTTAGGTAATTATCTTTTCTAGTTAGATTAGGATTCTAGGGTTTTCTTATATTTAAATAGTCGTCTTGTGCTAGAGTTTTGGTATGCAGAGAGAAATATTAAAGAATAGATCTTACGTTTCGTAGGAAATATTTATGATACACAAGAGATCGTATCACGCTCAAGTCAGACGTGCTGATCATAGAAATAGTCCAGAGAATACATATTATCGTATTGCTCAGTTAATAGGATGTACCTTAATAAAATGAGTAAAACCTCTATTTATATGTCGTTTATTGGGTTGGGTTTGCTTTGTTGGGCCCAAACCTTACTTGAAGGTGTTTGGGCCTCGGTGATATTAGTCTTCGATATTGGGCTCGTAGCCCAGTAGGTAAAGAAATTGTAGGCCCATTGGGTTGGCCCAATTAGGCATATCATTAAGCCCCCCACTCTCGAGTCGATGTGGGGGCCATGTTGTGATGGGTCTCAAATCGTGTCGAGAGTAAAAATTATAGAAGTCGATCGTTGGCGTATGGCCTAATGGTATGCGAAAACGCGTTGGAGCGTGTGTCGGAGGGGCGTGAATGCGCGTTGGTGCATAGCGCGACAAGGTCGTCGCGATGTAAGTTAATTGAGTCGTCGGTTTTGTCCCGCGACGATGTAGTAGCGAATTATCTCCTCGTGGGAGTTGTTTCGTCGCGGGGTAATAGTGTTGATCGAGTTATCTCCTCGTGGGAGTTGTCTCGCGATAATGTAGTAGCACGGATCAAGTAATCTCCTCGTGGGAGTTGTCTATGGGGTAATCGAGTTGATCGAGTTATGTCCTCGTGGAAGTTGTCTCACGATAATGTAGTAGCACGGAGCTAGTATTCTCCACGTGGGAGTTGTTATTTTTCGACATTGTCGATGTTTTGACGCGTTGCTTATATGTGTTTACATATAGCCTTGTGCGTGATGTACTTGAGGAGGGGATCAGACTCTCAAGATTTTTTATGGGGGTCGTGCCCCTTGTTAGACCTCGTGGGTCTTAAGTATGTTTGGACCGTGGCCACGTTTTAATGAGGGACCCGTCGAAAACAAGTAGATAAATTTGAGTAATCAAGCTGGCCAGGCTATATAGATTCTCATAATATTTCTAAGTGTTTCTAGGGTTGTAATCGTGCTAACTTGAGCTTGCGATTACATAGTGAGTTTCGGGTGAGTTGTCTCCTCATGGGAGTTGTCTCGCAGCGAAGTTGTAGAATCATTGGATGACGCACGACTGACGAGTGTGCGGATTGATGTCGCTCTGAGCGATTTCTCTCCTCGTGGGAGTTGTCTCGCATCGAGTCTTATTATCGAGTGAGGTGGCTGCACGTGGGAGTTGTCTCGCTGCGGGATGTGTGACAGAGCGAGTTTGCTCCTCGTGGGAGTTATCTCGTTGTGGTTTCGTAGATCCGAGGGAGTTGGCTCCTCGTGGGAGTTGCCTCTCAACGGGTTATAGTACCGAGCGAGTTGGCTCCTCATGGGAGTTGTCTCGCTGCGGGTTGTAGGACAGGGCGAGTTTGCTCCTCGTGGGAGTTGTCTCGCTGCAATTTGCGGGACGGAGCGAGTGGTCTCCTCGTAGGAGTTATCTCGCTGTGGTTATGAGACCCGAGGGAGTTGGCTCCTCGTGGGAGTTACCTCGCAACGGGTTATAGGACGGAGCGAGTGGTCTCCTCGTGGGAGTTATCTCGCTATGGTTTCGTAGAACCGAGGGAGTTGGCTCCTCGTGGGAGTTGTCTCGCAAGCCCCCCACTCTCGAGACGATGTGGGAGCAAACTCGAAAGGGCTACCGGATCGTATTGAGAGTATATCGGTGCTGTAGTCTTGCGTTAATCGTTGACATGGCGTGGAGAAATAATTTATTTTATTTTCCATTAGATAGCGAACGCAATTTGGTAGGTGCGTTAAAGAGCTCGCGCAATTTGGTGGAGCGCGTTGAAATTCTCGTGCGATTTGGTGAAGCGAGTCAAAATCTACGCGCAATTTGGTGGAGGGCGGTGAAAGTTCCGTGCGATTTAATGGGAGCGCGCAGTCCAAGGGCATCTTGGGAAAGCGCGCGCGCGTGCTTGCGCGCACCCCCATTTTTTTTTTTTTTTTTTTTTTTTGCTGACGCGCGCGCGCGTCAGCGCGTGTACTACACGCGCGCGTGCTATGCACGCGCGCCTCCTCCTTTTTTTTTTTTGTTTTTTTTTGTTTTTGTTTTTTCTCTCTCCTGCTGACGCGCGAGCGCGTCAGCGCGTGTGTGCCACGCGCGCGTGCGATGCACGCGCGCCTCCTCCTTTTTTTTTTTATTTTTTTTTTTTCTCTTTTTGCTGACGCCCGCGCGCGTCAGCGCGTGGGAGCCACGCGCGAGTGTATGCACGCGCGCTTCCTCCTGCTCTTTTTTTTTTTTTTTTTTTTTTTTTTTTTTCTTCCTTTTTCTCCCTCTTCTTTATTTTTCTTCTTCTTCTTTTTCTTTTTTCTTCAACTTCTTCTTTTTTTCTTCTTCTTCTTTTTCTTGTTTCTTTTTTCTTCAACTTCTTCTTCTTCTTTTTTTCTTCTTCGTTTTTGTATCTTCTTCTTTTTTCATCTTTTTTCTTCTCTCTTTTTTTTTTTTTTTTTTTTTTTGTTGATATTCACCCCCTTGGGGATGTTCTATTTTTTGAGTAGGGAGATTATCCTCGTTCCTTGAGATGGGATGTGCACCCCCTTGGGGATGTTCTATTTTTTGAGTAGGGAGATTATCCTCGTTCCTTGAGATGAGATGTGCACCCCCTTGGGGATGTTCTATTTTTTGAGTAGGGAGATTATCCTCGTTCCTTGAGATGAGATGTGCACCCCCTTGGGGATGTTCTATTTTTTGAGTAGGGAGACTCTACTCGTGTCTTGAGATGTGATGTGAACCCACTTAGGGTTGAAAGGTAAGGGTCATGCCCAACCTTAGGATGGAGATAACTGCCCACTGTAGGATGAGGCGCTCGAGACCTATGGTCTGAGGTGGATGCGCACGGTTGTGCCATTGGTTCGCGCGTGCGCGTCTGACCCTTTTTTCTGTTTTTGATGTAGGGACGTGAAACACTTGATGGGATGTGAAACCCCTTGGGGTTGAAAGGTAAGTGGATGTACCACCCTTGAGATGAGATGCCCCACTTTAGGATGGGATAGCCCCCCATTTAGGATGAGGCGATCACGAACATCTGGGGTGAGATGCCCAACCTTGGCGATGCCCAACCTTAGGATGGGGATAACTGCCCTCGGGAATCGTGCCCGATTTTTTTTTTTTTTTTTTGGCGATATATGGTGCCACTGATTCAGTGGCAGCACGAGTTGAATTTTCCGTGATCATACGCTGAAGGTCTTCTTCGGTTATCTGAACCGTTCGAGAAGTAAGTAGAAATTGATCATGTTGAGGACCCAGTGGGGCCTCACGAGGAGGAGCGTTGGCTCCTGCTATGACGAATGAAATGTTTTGGGGGCGATGTGAACCCCCAGAGGGTCGATAACCCTCGGCGAACGAAATATTTTGGGGGCAGATGTAAGCCCCCAGGGAGTCGATAACCCTTGGCGAACGAAATATTTTGGGGGCGATGTAAGCCCCCAGGGAGTCGATAACCCTTGGCGAACGAAATATTTTGGGGGCGATGTAAGCCCCAAGGGAGTCGATAACCCTTGGCGAACGAAATATTTTGGGGGCGATGTAAGCCCCCAGGGAGTCGATAACCCTTGGCGAGCGAAATATTTTGGGGGCAGATGTAAGCCCCCAGGGAGTCGATAACCCTTGGCGAACGAAATATTTTGGGGGCGATGTAAAACCCCAGGAAGTCGATGGCGGTGGTGCCACATGTGGCTCCACATGTGGAGCAGGTGCTGGTATCGCGTTGGGAGCATTTGCTCCCATCGTGGCGATATATTGGATCACGGCCTCTGTGGCAGCGCGAGTTGAAGCTTCTGCTCTCATGCGTTGAAGCGCATCCTCGGTTATTTGAACCATTCGAGGAGCAGGGAGTGATGGATCGGCGAGTGGTGGGTCCCGAGGGGGGATCACCTGAACCTCGCGAGGCGGATCCATGAGATGGGGAGGAGGTGGCAAGCCAGAGCCTCCACGAGGTGGGAGGTTGTTAGCTGTGTCATTTTCTCTCCGAGCAGACGCCTCAGGAGGATCTTGTTGGCTACGTGATCTGGTTTGCATCGTTCCCACAGACGGCGCCAAAATGATGATGCTAAAATATAGCTCACCTAGGGTGGTGTAGAAAATGAGCTGGGAGAGCAAAGCAGATCAGTAGCTTGACAACTTGATGATCCTGAGGTACCTGCGATCATAGAACACACATGAACTAAGCCGGGGGTTGATCCGGCGGAAACCCCTCCGACGCTCAAGTCAGACGTGCTGATCATAGAAATAGTCCAGAGAATACATATTATCGTATTGCTCAGTTAATAGGATGTACCTTAATAAAATGAGTAAAACCTCTATTTATATGTCGTTTATTGGGTTGGGTTTGCTTTGTTGGGCCCAAACCTTACTTGAAGGTGTTTGGGCCTCGGTGATATTAGTCTTCGATATTGGGCTCGTAGCCCAGTAGGTAAAGAAATTGTAGGCCCATTGGGTTGGCCCAATTAGGCATATCAATATATTACTTTTTAATTATTTTCCAATAATTTAACTTTAGTTACTTTTCATTTTTTCATGATTCAATAATTGTTAGATTGTTATGTTTATTATATTTTTTTAAATTTTAAAATGTAAAATAATTGATGTAAGGGAGGTAAGTGTTACAAATGATACTTTAAAGAGTAAATATTATCTAAGCTATACATTAGGAATGCAAAGTGAATTTAACCCTAGATTTTTCTACTAGTTAGCTTCTATATGTTGTTTCCTTGTAGTAGTAAACTCGATCTAGATTATTTACCTTAATTAGGAATTATGATTTTAGGGATGAACTTGAGATATTTATGAAAATAACTCTATATATAGTATCAAAATTGAGGTAATTTTTAATTCCTAAATTAAAAAATAAATAAATAAATTTAAATAGGTAGTCTCTGATATATATAGATATTTAATTTTATTAAATATATGAAAATTTGGACATCAAAAGTAGTAGTGGTAATAAAAAGAGGCCTAAACATATTGAAAAATTATATATTACAGACTCGAGATAAATAATCAGGGATTAGCAATCACCGGTTCTAAATAATATGACTTTCTTATTGGTCCATATATTTTATATTTGACTTTGGAACAAGTCCGAAGAGAAGCACAATTGTTCGAGTCAAGTCTCAGTCATTCGCATCTCTCTCTCACACACACTTTCTCTCTCTCACACGGAATAATAAATAATATTTCCATATAGACAACCCTAAAACTAAAACAAATCCTAATTAAGATCCAATACTAATTTCTTCACCATCACTATATGATACAAGATCCTCTTCTCTAAAACCTCACACTCTCTCTCTCAACAATATCTGAAAAAAAACTCTCTCTCTCTCTCTACAATAAACAATTTCAATGGCTCTTGATCGGTCTTTGAATTCGCTCAAGAACTCCCGCCGTTTCGACTTTCTTGATGTCGGCTCGTGGAAGAAATCATCGAGGCGATCGAAGCGATGGTGTCAGTTAAAACTGGGAGTCGACGAGATTTTGGCCGCCCAAGGTCTCGTCATGCTCTCCAGAACCGGCGGTGGTTCTTACCCATCTCCTCCCGCCGCCGCCGCCGCAGCCAAACACGATGGGGATAACCCTGTTCGTCCCGTAACCACCACCATCTCCGCCGCCGCTTCACTCAATTATTCTGACTTCAAGATTTCTCAAGAATCGGTCCCTACTACACCGTCCCCGCCACCGGCCGTGCCCAAATCGTACAGGAGTTGTGTCAACTGCGGTAAGGGTTTCAATTCATACCAGGCGCTCGGCGGCCACAAGACCAGCTGCCGCCTGAAGCCCACAATCGCAGCCGCAATCGACAGAAACCCCTACGCCGTCATCCCTGCCGTCGCCGTCATCTCCGCCGTCGCCAAATGCAACTCCGGCATGAATCGGAGTGGTTATAATCTTCACGAGTGCGAAAGATGCCACAAAACCTTCACATCGGGACAGGCTCTGGGCGGCCATAAGCGCAAGCACTATGAAGGTGTCATCGGCGCCGGTTCTAAAAAGAGCCGGAAAACCTCCTCAAACGGCAGCGCAGCCAGCCCAAAGATGATCCTGGATTTTGACTTGAACCTGCCCCCGCTGCCTGATCAAGATTTCGAGTTTTAATGAATTCAAGAAGTAGTGGAAACTGCTCAGCCGCCACCTTTATGCGCGTATGAACAGTTTTAGTGCCCCTTTTTAACCCTTATATAAAGAATATGTCTTTAAAATATTTTTCTGGAGTGTTAATTGATTGTTCCATATTATTTAGGATTTTGTGTATACTTTTATTCATTTATTAAATTCAATGAATTAATTTTTCAATGCCTATTATTTTCATATTCTTTATCATTCTTGAATTTAGTTTCTTTTTTAATACCAAAAATAAAATTTTATTGAATCAAAATGTACGAATACATAGGCCGTCATTAAAACCTTGTTTGGTCTAACAAGAATTAAATGGTATGCCGATTATTTACGAAAATTAGAAAAACCTAACCTATATAGGAAAATAAAACGCTTAACAAAGCCCACATTATTGCAACGTAACTAATATAATGAAAGGAACGTCGATGAGAATAAGCAAACTTTAATTTTCCAATGCGAATATATGTAACAACTTTGTACAAGCTTTTATTATGCAAAATGTAAATAATTTCCCCAGAACATTTCATAAATCATATGCCCAACGACTAACTTCGAATTCAACTCGATAGACGATAATAATATGATCAATGCCAAGTTGAAGGCACATCTGCAAACCTTTCTCTCGTGGTCATAGCTTCTGCATAAAGAATTCGGAAATCTCTATAGAAACATGAAAAAGCTTTCATAAACCCATGCATGATTTCGTAAAATCCACATTTCACTTCGCTGGTTCCGAGGGTTTCCATATAACTTATTACGAGCTTATTGCAAATACCACCCCTGTGTTATCTCTAATTGGCAAATAACCCCCTGCGATAAAAAAACTCACCAACACCCCCTTATGTTAACAATTTCGAAGCACACTGCACCCTTTGTGATTTTAGCCTTTGACTGAAGGTAAAATGACAAAAATGTCCTAGTGGGTTTTTCAGCAATTAATAATACATATTATAATTTTATAGATATTATATATTGTTTTTATTTTGTAAATATTAAAAAAAAAAATACATTTAAACCAGAATAATATATATACCGTAACATTAATTTTATTTTATATGTTTTCAATTTTTTTTTTATTAGATAAAGAAAAGAAAAGAAAAAATAAAAAATTAGCCTTCTTCCCCACCCTCCCACCCAAAGTCCTAACTCGCAGCACTCATCCACCATTTCTCCACCCGGCGCCGCTTCTGCTCCGCCGCTGCTCACCACCATCTCACCTCTCCTTCACCACCACACCATCTTCTCTAGATCCGCCGCCCACTAATCAATTTTAGTTTATTGAAAATTTAGTTTCTACCAATAAATTTTAGGCGGGCCTCAAACCTTCCCCAATCTCCAATTTTGACGGCGGTGGTGGCGATAAGGAAGAGCAAGAGAAGAGAAAAGAACAAAGAGACGCAATTTTTGGACCTAGCAGGTTTGACCGTTATCAATGTCGCCGCCGTCGTCGAGAGAAATTGCTTGGACATGTTAGATAGGCTATTGCTGTAATTGGGACTGGGTTTGTCACGAACCCTTCCTTTATCTTCAATAATCAACTCCGTTGATGAGAAATAACCTGTAACAATAGAGTTCAATGAGAGAGTGGTGGCGGCGGATAATGCTCTAGGGTTGGTGGGAAATGAGAATATTAGCTACACTAAGTTTAACCTAAAGATTACCAGTAATTGCCTGCCTCTGTCAGCTGCTCCTTTGTCCTCTTATACTGCCATCACGTGAGAAGAGCTGGAGTTTAGAGGTGGAGCCTCCCATGCAGCTGAGGTGTGCCCACGTCTGCTTCTTCCTTCCCAAAACGACGGCGTTTTGCCTTATTCTTTAATAATAATAAAAACGCTGAATTAATTAAAAGCGCGTCCACGCTTCACTAAGTTGAACGACGCCGTTTTATTCTCGGATTTGAAAATCCGTTTATTCGGTTATTACACTACCCTTCCCTCTTTTCCAGCCATGTCTCATGGCTGAAACGTGGGGAATTTCTTCCCCATTTCATCAGCATTTTCCCACGTGGCCTCCTCTCTTGGTAAGTGAATCCATTTCACTAACCATTGTACCAGTGCAGCATTATTTTTCTTGATCATTCTCCTCTCCAAAACCTCTTCGGGCACTAGAAGAAACTGACTGCTTTCATCAAGAGGTGGTATAGAAGTAGGCACTTGAGTCTGGGCACCTATGTGTTTCTTTAATTGAGATACATGAAACACCGGGTGCACTTTACTGTCTGTAGGAAGTTCGAGTTCATAAGCAACTGGTCCTATCTTTTTAAGGACAGCAAAGGGTCCACAATATTTTGGAGTGAGCTTCCAAAGATGGCTCTTCCTCAGACTTAATTGCTTATAGGGTTTAAGCTTCAGATAAACAAGCTCTCCTTCTTCAAAGTGCCTTTCACTTCTGCCTTGATCAGCATAAAATTTCATTCTAGCTTGTGCTTCTCCCAGCAGTTGCTTCAGCTGCTGAGTAACCCTCTGGTGCTCCTCTATCCATACTTTGACTCCTTCTGTCTTCTTGAGCAAGTGTGGCCCATATCCTAGCTGTGGGGGTTGATATCCATACAAAGCCTCAAAGGGGGTCATCTGTATTGTAGAGTGGAAAGTGGTATTATACCACCATTCAGCTAGTGGGATCCAAGAACTCCATTTTTTTGGCATTTGTCCACACATGCACCTCAAGTATGATTCTAGGCACTGGTTCACCCTTTCTGTCTGCCCATCAGTCTGAGGATGGAAGGCAGTACTCAACTGCTGTTGTACTCCTAAAGATTGCATCAACTCCCTCCAAAAGTGACTGGTGAATATGGGATCTCTATCAGAAATAATATAGTTTGGCAGTCCATGTAATTTATAGATTTCCTCAATGAAGGTTTGAGCTAGAGTGGAAGCTGTGACAGGTTGAGAGAGAGCTATGAAGTGAGCATATTTGGTGAACCTATCAACTACCACCCAAATGCTTTCCTTCCCTTGTGATTTAGGAAGTTTTACAATAAAGTCCATGGTAATGCAAGTCCAGGCTCCTTCTGGTATGGGTAGTGGTTGGAGGAGCCCTGGTGTTTTTACATTTTCATGTTTGCTCAACTGGCAAATGTGGCAATTTTTGACCCATTCTTTCACTTGGCTCCTGAGTCCAGGCCATAAAAAGACCCCTTGAATCCTTTGGTAAGTGTTTTGTATGCCAGAGTGCCCCCCTATGCTGGTTCCATGCATCTGCTCAATGAGGTTCTTCCTCACTTCTTGTTGACTTCCCACAAAAATTCTGCCTTTGAATCTTATGATTCCTCCACTGTACTGGTAAAATGAAACATCCAATGGCCTCAGGGAGCAATTAGCAATGATCTCTTGTGATTCTTCATCATTATCATAACTTTGTATGACTTCTTGAATCCACATAGGTTGGATTATTGTTACTTGATTCAAGACTTGCTCAGTTTCCCTTCTAGATAGTGCATCAGCTGCACTGTTCTCAGTCCCCTTCTTATACTCTATGGTATAGTTGAAACCTAGTAGCTTGGCTAGGTACTTGTGCTGCAGTGGGGTGGAAAGCTTCTGCTCCAACAAATACCTCAAGCTCTTCTGGTCTGTTCTTATTACAAAAGTGCCACATATCAGGTAAGCTCTCCACTTCTGCACTGCCAAAAGAATTGCCAAGAATTCCTTTTCATATATGGAGAGCCCTAGGTTCTTTGACCTCAGTGCCTTGCTTAAATAGGCTAAGGGATGACCTTTCTGCATTAGTACTGCACCAATTCCATAATAAGATGCATCAGTTTCAACCACAAATTTTTCCTTGAAATCTGGCAGTTGCAACACTGGTGTGGTAGTCATAGCTTCTTTCAGTTTTTCAAAAGCCCCTTGGGCTTCTAAGTTCCATTGGAACTGCCCCTTTTTCAATTGTTGAGTTAGGGGCTTAGCTATCTCACCATACCCCCTTACAAATTTTCTGTAATACCCTGTCAAGCCCAGAAAGCCTCTAAGAGCCTTCACTGTTGTGGGATTTGGCCAGCTCTTCACACTCTCTATTTTGCTAGGGTCAACTCCTACTCCTTCTTCAGTGATGATGTGTCCCAGATATTCCACTTGTTTTTGACCAAAGCTACACTTACTCATCTTAGCATACAGTTGGTTTTTCTTGAGAAGTTCCAAGACTGTTCTCACATGTTGTTGGTGAGAATCTAAGTTAGGGCTATAGATGAGTATGTCATCAAAGAATACTAACACAAATTCCCTTAGGTGGTCCCTGAAGACATCATTCATCAAGGCTTGGAATGTGGCAGGGGCATTTGTGAGTCCAAATGGCATCACCAAGAACTCATAATGCCCAGCAGAAGTTACAAAGGCAGTCTTCTCTACATCTCCTTGGCTCATTCTAATTTGATGGTAGCCAGCTCTAAGGTCAATTTTTGAGAACACCTTAGCTCCTCCCAGTTCATCTAATAAGTCATCAATTAGAGGAATGGGATATCCATCCTTTATGGTCATGGAGTTTAGCTTTCTATAGTCCACACAGAACCTCCATGACCCATCTTTTTTCTTTACCAGCAGCACTGGTGATGCAAAGGGGCTGTTGCTGGACTGTATAATACCAGCATGTAGCATTTCTTGCACCATGGCTTCTACTTCTTTTCTCTGCATGAAAGGGTACCTATAGGGTTGGGACTTGAATGGCTGAGCATTGTCTTTGAGAGGAATTGAATGCTCAGCTTTCCTTACTGGTGGTAGCTCTGTAGGTTCTTGAAATACCTCAGCAAATTCACTGATTACTTCTTTGATTTGATTAGGGACTTCCTTTCCTTCCTTGGTACTCTCTGAATTCTGCATCTTGATCAGGCAGCCCATGTTGATCTCTCTGTTGTGCAGCATGCTTTGCAACTCTTCCTCATCAATCATATGAAATTCAGGCTCTCCATTCACCCCTTGGAGGATCACCTCTTTTCCTTCATAGTTGAATGCAATCGATTGCACATTATGATCAAAAGAGAGTGGTGCAAATCTTTTCATAAAGTCCACCCCAAGTACCAGATCACATCCTCCTAGCTCTAAAAGAGTCACACTAATCTCAAACTTGCAATTTCCCATTTCCCACTGGAAGTTTGGGCAGAATGAGTCACACTCCACTTGGAGACTTCCTGCTACT